TACACTATCTTCTGGCATTCATTTATTCCTTTGCTTTCATGTATGTCTTGATGACTTTTAAATCTTTTCTTTCTAGCCTCAATTTCTTTCATGGGCCCAAAGCCTATATACCCAACTATCTAACAAATCTTTTTTCCTGATGTCTCAAAGAACTAAAACTTAGTATGCCCAATAATAAACTCTCCCCCCAATAGCCTATTCCTCTAGTATTTTCTATCTTAGTGGACAACATCACTGTTTTCCCATTCAATAAGCCTAAAGCCAAGGAATCATTCTGGATTCCTCCTATTTTCCTCATTCTTCACCCAACTGAGCACCCATATTCTGTAGATTTTCCCTTTTGAATATTTTTTATAACCAACCCTTCTTTCTACCTACAGTGCTTACTCTTTGAGATAAAGCCCTCATCATATCTTGTCTGGACTCTGGCAATTGTCCTTAATAGAATAAGCACTAAAAAAACATTCATTGAAATAAATGAATATATGGATGTGGAGCTAGAGGTTATTCAGAAGTTCATGGCTGGTTTGTTTTTTTACATGAATGATTGTCTGTTCTATTATATATTTATTCGCTTGAGGTTTTTGGAGTTAAGCTTTACATTTCTCTGAGTTAAAGTTCATCAGAATAGCTTTGTTCATTGTTCCAGTTTTCTGACATTATTGTTACTGTCATCCATCACGTTCACTCTGCTCCCCAATTTTATGTCATCTCCACATTTTAGAATTTTGCCATCTATTTCTTTATTCCAGACATTGAAATAAATGTTGCTAAAGAAAAGGCCAAGGGCTGATATCTAACAATAGGCCAAGGATAGTTTACTCTAACCTCACATTAAGTAAAATCATTCACTTGCATAGGGGATTTGTAGAACTCTACTCTTATCCAGGAGGCATTTTTCTCCCTCATCTACTCTTCTGCAACTTTTCTTTTCAAAATTTTATTTAAATTCCAGTGGTTAACATACAGTGCAATATTGGTTTCAGGAGTAGAATTCAGTGATTCATCCCTTACATACAACACCCAGTGCTCATCATAACAAGTTCATGCAACTTTTCTTAAATATCTTTATGAAATCAGTATAAATGGTGGTGATGGTATTCACTTAATCTACAATTCCAGTTATTATATAAAAATATAAATGAGTTTGGGAAAACTTGTTCTCAGGAAATGCTTGCTGGATATAATACAACTTTCACTTCCTTTTAAAAAATATTATTAAACTCTGAAAGTGGTTTTAAAAATTTAGAAAATAAATAGAAAGAAAAATAATGTATAATCCTATAATTATTTTAAGACAAGTAGCATTATAGTATATTTTGTTCATGCCTTTTTGAGAATCTTGTTTTTATATAGCTGATGGTGAACATATAATCTGTAGCTATTTTTAAAGTTTATCCTGTTTTACAACATTGCCTCAATTTACATACTTCTCATAGATTTCATAACATTCCATTCTATGACTGAAATATAAAGTTTAAACACACCCAAATTACTGGACTTTGGACTGCATTCAATTTTTGAATTATAAATAATGATTTGAGGAATACTTTGTATACGTAGATGTTTCTTTATGTTTTTCTTGGGTATATCCCCGAGTGTATTTTCTGGTGCCTAATACATATAAATATATATATTAGTCAGGTAGGCCGGGTTATGCTGTAGTAACAATCATACATACCCACATCAGGTATTTAACAACAACCAAAACTCCTTTCATTTCAATGGCTTAACCCATGAAAGCTTATTTCCCATTCACACCAATTCTGCTGTGCCTATCAAGGCTCTTCAGGGCAGTTCCCTTCAAAGAGGTGACTCGGGGATTCAGGCTGGTTCCATTTTGGTTTCCATAATTGATGTGCTGAGGAGGGGACTGGAGGTTGTTTGACAATCACCCACAAGCCATTGGTCGGGACTACTCATGCATTTCCCACTCAACTGCAATTGGTGCTGGAATGTGTCTAATATGTGTTCAGTAGAAAAAGAACATCACTCTCAGTCTGCTCCAGTAGGGTGTCTATATACTACGTCAATCTAGCTTGGCTGGAACTATGTTTCCCACAATTCCCTTTCTCATAGGATTACAGGTTTGTTTCAAACTTGGGAAATACTTTCACAAGATGTGGTAGATTGAAGTGAAGCCACAGCCCTCAAGTTCAGAAGGCATAAGAACAGCTCACAGCCTCATCTCCTGGCACACCTTGCTGGTATGTGGCAGCAGGCAGCCTACACCCTCTAGCCCCCACCAGACCTCCTTCAGCTTCTCTGAGTCCTGGCTCTCGGGAACACACAGCTCCGAGGTGAAGAATGTCAAGTTCTTTTTTCGGTCACTTGGGCTATGGAGTTTGGTGGTAAGAGCTAATGCAAATTTTAGTCTGTCTCCACGGGTTCTAGTTTGTCCTTGTTCTTTCCCTGCTTCACACTCAGCTTTTCTTTCTGGCTGCCAGCCTCAATGACTTAGTGACTCCAGACTCACAACTGGATGCAAAAGGACCAGCCTTCCACAGAGTTCTTCACTACAACTGCATGAGGTCAAATCCTTAAAACAAATCTCAGTCATGATGATGGCTTCTCTGATAAAACTGTAATTGATATAAAATACATTAATTTTTTTTATAAAGTAGGGTCTAATTTTAAGCTATTATGTTCACAGAATTTTTATTTAAATTTACTGCCAAGAAGAGCAGGATCACAACATTTTATCCATGTTGAAAAAGAAGTACCGGGTTATGGCATATAGAAAGGCAGATACCATTGTCCAAAGTGAAGATAATTATAAAATCAAACTAAAAGCAGTTATTAGAACAGGGAGCAGCCTCAGGCATGTTTTCCCAGGCACACAGATGCAATCGGGTGGGGGTAGGGGTGCGACTTTGGAGGGTTGTGTTGCAGTGGATTGCAGAAGAAATCCACACCTGTATCCAGGTTTCCACAGCTGTGAGGAGGTAATTCTCCCAGGAGGTGACTTTATCCCCAGGACCAGCGTTAAAGGGGAACAGACTATGCTAGGGGAAATCCACAGTGAAGTGTAAAAAAAAACCACACACACAAAAACCAGAATTTTCTGTTAAATTGAGTCCAACTGTGTTCAATGACTGATCTCTATTCCTATAAATTTTCTACCTGCATGAAGTTGGGTTTCTGTGTTTCTTTGTTATGTGGCCGACTCTATATAAGGTACCAGCAGCTCTGCAATTGGCGAAAGACAGAAGAGAGGCTAAAGTACACAGATTTCTGGCCTACAGTTGTGTTAAGATGAGGCTTTCCCAAGACTTCCTCAAAGCGCCGTGGTTGACCGAAGGCAGGGTGACTTGCAGACGTCCATCACACTCCCCTCCACATGCAAACTCCTGCCCTTCGTGCCAGTTATTCTTGCTGGAAGAGGAACTCATTGTCCCAATTCCCTTCCCCCAACCCTTCCTCCGATTCCAAGCAAAACAAAACAATTCTTGCCACACTGTTTCAAGGAACTGCGGCATACTGGAAAATGCCCACATGAGCAAAGAATTCCATTCATGGTTTGCATGTGATTCGTGCAACTCATGTTGATTTCAGCTGTTGCATGCTCCGTTCTCTTCTGAGGGCAACTATCATTGTGAAGCACCCGAAAATGCTAGATGGCTGAATGGCTTGTGCCCACGGAGCCCATCTCAGTCACCAGACACAATATAGGTATACCGGTAGATGTTGGCCAGCTGGGGATTTAGCCAACTCCCAATAATTGTTGGGCACAATGTTCCACTTGGATTAGTGTAGTGTGGTTCACGTCACCCAATTTTTTGTCCTTCATGTTATACTCTGTGAAACTGCAATAGTAATGACTTTCATACTGATAGATATATTATTTAGGAACATGGTAAGAAATGAAACAAGCATTTAAAGTGTCACACGAAAAAAAAAAGCTGTAGAAATCCCATTTTATTAATAATAACTTATAAATTATACTTCTCTGGTCTCAACATATTCTGTTAGAATCATACTATTTAAGGCAGATATAGTAATATTCTAGAGTAGGAAAAAAGTCTACTGGTGATGATATGAGAAGTACTGGTGTGATAATGTTATAAATTATTCAAGCCCATGCAAACGCTGAAGTTCAGAGATGACACCTAGTTTCCAAGTTTCTCAAGTTTACAATGCACATTATCTCCTCTGCTTGGTTGTGGTATTGTTTTTCTTTTATCAAATGCCCAATGAGTGATACCCAATGAGTGACCAGAGGGCCTCAGATGGCCTCAGGCATTTTCTAAAGACTGGAATTGGTTGTCAAATTTTGCAAAGAGAAAGCTCACCATAGCCTCCCCACTCGCTACAAATGGTGTGCACCCCATAATGTCATGCATTTTAGTGACTTTTGTGGCTCCTATAGGCATGTGTGTTCGCTCCACTCTGTGTCAAACTATATCATTTGTCATTTACATTGGAACTGGTCTGTGGGCCAGAATATGTCGATTTGTTATTCTGTATCAGTTTAAGAGCAGCTGAGGGAGAATGCCTGTTAACAGCTGCTCTTCCACCAAACACTGTTCCATGCATGTTTAAGTGTGATCTCTTGAGTCTGTAATCTGTTATATCATTATGCCTATGCAATATTTACTTATTTACCCCCTAGGTCTCCAGGACCAGCCTTTTTCTTCCTATTATCTATCACTTACTCCTTTTCCCTAATCGTAGTGATGATCCATCTTCACCTCCCCTGACCAAATCCTAAGACCACAAGCCTCTCCACTCATCTGAACCCTAGTACGTGTGGGACGGATAGGGTGGTAATAAACAACTCTAGGGTAATAAAACAACTATAAACTAAAAAGAACCGTCAAAACAATGAGTTGTGACCTGGGAATATGGAAATAAACACGTGATTAGCTCTGACTTGAACTAAATAATCTTCCTGATAAAAGCAATAAGCCACTAGAAACTGTATCTTCGTCAATGGAAAAATTTCAATAAGCAAGAAAATAAGCCCTTTCTAAATGAACTTTCTCAAGGGGTAGAAATAGTAATTTTTACATGCTATATAATTTATTTATTAATATTATAGTCTGATATGACACAAACATTTTCTTACCTAAAATGATACTATAACTTAGGAAACATGCTTCCATTAAACTCTTGGGCCTCACAATGTAGCACGCAAGGGAATAAAATCGTTTTGAAATTAAAAACTATATTCATAAGAAATTGATCCTTTTAAACTGATACGCATTTTAGTAACTAAAGAGTAAAACATTTTCCTTAATAGCAAAATCAAAGACTACTGTATTCATTTTAATGTCACTATATAAATATAAAATGTTAACTGATACTTGCCTTGGTCAAATATTCCAGTTGCATTAACAAACATCTACATAACAAATACAAACTTCCATCAAATATCAAATTTCCCATTATCTTCCCACAACATCATGACTTTAAGAGCCTGGAAAGTGCCCTCTTTATTTGCTTGTTTTTATTTCTTTTGCTATAGGCTCCAAGTATTTAGGCAGGAAAGAAAACACAACTGAGAAATATTTCAGTTTGGAACAAGAGTCTTGTTAGCTGCAGTCTCTTTTGGACACTCCCCAGGGGAAAAGATCCGTGAAATGGCGAGTTGCCACTCATACCGGTTGGAGACATTAGGCCATTTGTTGATGGCAGTTATACACCCACTGGTTTATTCACTGTAAAAAAGGACTATCATGGTCCCAGAAAAGAATAGATAGTTCATCACGTGAAAAACAGGTTGCTATCATCTATACAAATTAATCTATTCTCTTGATGTTCAGACATCAAAAATATTTTATTTTGTGTTAAAAAAGAGATGGGTTTCCATTCCAGAGTATGGTCAGTCCTTACCAATTTTCTCCATTTCTCCCCACCTGCACACTCTCTCATTAAAATATTTTAAAGTGTACGTTCATCCAATACAGTCATAATAGTGATGGTCTTGGATTAAAACAATGGCTGCTTTGGTCTACTTTGGTTTTGGTAAAGCCATTTAAAAAAAATCAAGTATGTGACACAGTTTAAAGTTTTAATAAAGAATTGAGGGTAACTGAGCACCAGTAGAATTTCTCATAGACAGGCTGAATGCCTACTCGGCTCAAAGTTCTGTGGTGCGTGCAGATAGATATCTCAGTGTCCTAGTATTTTTGGATCATGGTCCTTCAGGGACTGGTAAGGGAAAATACTATGGTGTCACAGTAAAGAATTCTTAATGTGGGGAAGTACTGGGGTGGGGGATGAGAAGTACCAGAAGATTCAGTTAAAAAATTGCTGCTCTGGGTTTCCACAGCTTCTCTCCAAATCTATATTTTAACATTGTGGAAGAAGGATTGGTTCAGGAATCCTTTATAATCTACCCGGACCACGATTTGAGAATTTTAAGAGCCGACAAGTTAAATGACAACAACCAAAGGCTTTAAAATGGTCAGAGCAAACCCCATCCAGACCTTGAACCTTGGCGGTCATAACTTGAGAGTTTAAGGACTCTGGAAATAATTGTTCCTGTGGGGGCAGGGGCCAGAGAGCAACTTGCAAAGCATCTCCCAGAGTCTGGTGTCCTGTGTCCTGTCCCCTCACCACGCAACAGTGCTTTTCATTACCCGCATTTTGCTTTAACGTTCTAAACATGTAGTCTCCAAGAATATTACGAGCATGGCAGGTTATTTTCTCCTTCCACAAATCCTGGTTGCATAATTTAACATAAAAGCAATTTGGGGGAAGAGATTATTATCTTTCTACATGCTGAAAAGCTCTTACTGATACAGTTTAAAACGTGCAATTGAAATGCTGCATTTTCTTGAGCCTTCAATAAATTTCGTAGCTCTCCCCCCGAACTGCAGAAATAGGATAAATAAAACCACTCAGTTCTTTAAGCACAGCAAACATGAATCAAAAGCCTCTACTCCATATTTATAAAAGGCAATGTGACCATCATAAGTTTCTCAATAGTCCCTGTCACCTTTAAGCACTTTCATTTATTATTCTCAATATATTTTAATAGCACACATAGACTCACAAATAATTCCTCCCTGGGGCTTCCTGTCAGCTTTTTCTTCCCCCAATCTTTAAAAATCTTACACTATACACGACTTAAAACATGTTTTGAGCAGGTTATATGAAAAATCCCCTTTTGTGCTCCACATCGACAGAGGCCCCCAAATCTGGGAGAAAGCAATCCCATCTGAGCTGTGCTGTCAGCATGAGGAGAGGAAGCTCCAAAGCACAATGTTCGCAGAGCTGTAAATCCATTGTGTCGCACGTGACAAATACGAGAATTGCCCCGTGACAGCTACGGTTTGGAAGCATTAACATTTTTCTTTGCAAACCTCAGTTTTAATCTTTTCCATTCTTTTCCTTAGTGAAACGCAGCCCCCACAGTCTGAATACCTGTATCACTAGCCTCTATGCCACGATTAAAAGAAGTAAGTCCCCAGCAACCATGAGGAAGGTCGCAGCCAGCACTTAAGACAAAACGGACTCGTTGATTTAGCAAAAGGTAGTTCTGTGGGCACCGCACCCCACCCCTTTCCACCCTGCCCCCCGCCCCTCTGCTGCCACGTGAGCAAGCTACTTCGCGTTACATTAAGAGTGCGTGATGTGTGCTTTCTAGCTTTTAAGTTTGGTCTCCTCAACCATGAAAACACAGTTAGAAATTGTTCTCAGAGCTAAACCACTCAACATCTTGGCACTTGGTTGTTTTTAACTTTCAACAATAGGCACTGTTCACTCCCCTCCGTCTCAGTTCTTTATTCAGTGATCAGGCACTCCCCCCCATGGTATCAGTGTGGTGGCATGTGATGATTCACATGGGGTGTGTTTGATCCGAGAAAGCCCAGTCTCTGCTTATTCTTCCTTTGTTCTGTCATCTGGGGGAAAAGAGAGAGTGTGTTGAGCTCATTTTCTCACTTTTCCCCAGGGCTGTTGGGCTACAACTCGGGGGTACTATTTCCCAAGCACCTACAGTCTGTGTCTGGCATCATACAGAATCGATTTACCTTTAAAAAAAGGGAAAATTTTTTTTTTGTAAGTGAATTTCCACAAAGAGAAAATAGGCCAACCCCTTTCTGTGGGTTTAAAAACAGGAACCATGGTTCTTTTAGAGCGGCTCTTTGCTTGTCAGATAATCGTCACCATCAGCCTAGTCTTTTTAATAGCTACCACAGTTACTTTTGATAGTATTTATACTACCGCTAATAATTTTACATGATGAAGGGGTTGATTATAACACTGAAATGACAGATTCTGAAGATGATGATCTGACTTTCCGATGCATTTAGTAATTGCTAGGGTGGCGGAAAATACCAGTTTCTATCAAAAAGTGCAAAGAGGCCCTTGTACTTTGGCATTTACTCTTCTCCCCACTCCGGTGGGTGCAGAAGGGGCACACAGGCGGTAACGCACGAAGCGGAAGCCTCACTTGCAGGAGGGTGGTTCTTACAGCACAGCGCGGGGATTGGAATTTACAGTTCCCTGTGAGTGACGATCTTGCCCCCAGGAGCGTCCAGGTCTCCCCTTGTTCAAGGTGCTGAATGATGCGAGCCCGCCCAGCTCCAGCCCCGGCTCCCTGAGCACACCCACCTGCTCTTTGAGCTCTGCCAGCTGACCCGACAGCTGCTTGACCAGACTCATGGTGGATTCCAACTTCTCCTGCAGGTTCCGAATCTCATTTTGCTCACTGTCCCCTTCATTGCTGACGAGGGACATGGCTCGCATCCGAGGAAACCAGTCTAAATTCTTCTCCTAGAAGCAGATACATGTTCAAGATCAAGGGAATGTACGGAAGGGAGCCTAAAGTTCTGTAGACAAGGTTTATAGGTGTTCGTTAGTATTAACATTCATTTTTTAAAGTTTGTTTATTTATTTTGAGAGAGACGGAGACAGCGCGAGTTGGGGAGGGCCAGAGAGAGAGGGAGACAGAGAATCCAAGCAGCGTGAAGCCCGGAGTGGGGTTCGAACTCCTGAGACCATGAGATCATGACAGGAGGTGAAACCAAGAGTCAGATGTTTACCCCACCGAGCCACCCAGGCACCCCAGTATTAACATTTAGATCAAAGTTTCTTAGTATTCAAAGCAAAAGGTACTCTTTCTGGCCTGACCTGTGGGTGGGAATGAAGTGAGGGTTAGGCATTGGTTTTCATGAGCTGGGCGAAGATTTTAAATATTGGCCCAAACTTCCTACAGGCTCCCACGAAGGTCCCAGATAAAGCATTTAGAACAGCACCCTGAACCCCGAGGGCATTCAGTGAATCCTTATGAATGATGAGGTAGGGTTAGGAAGCCAGAGACAACAGATCCAAGTATGTGTGGGTACCATAAGCTAGCTGGTTTTCCTCCCCCTGGCACGGAAGACAGAGGTGTGGCAGGCAGGATGGGAAGGTGATAAAAGAAAGGTTTCAGTTCCAGCCACCCATGCTGAACCAGTTTACCGCCCACTTCCCCAAGACGGGCTCTGAGCTCTGCTCAGGCGAGAGGGAAGCGGAAGGGCATGGCCCTGGGTTACTCTGTCTGCTCCCTTTGGAAACATTTTATTACAGGGAGGATGAGGTTTCAGAGTTACACTTCCCCAGAGGGCAATAGCTGGTACCACTTCTGTTTTTCTAGGCAGACTGGCTGTCGGGGTGTGTGTATGTGTGTAGCCCTCCACTGGTGTAGAAACTAGTTAACCAGCTGCCCAGCTCTCTTGAAAACTTGCTTGCTTAAAATGGTAGAATCACTGCACATTACTTAGAGTATACTTTTCAATAAAGCTTGCAAGGTAAACCGTATTTGTCCCCATTTTACAGATGGAGACAACGAGCTGCCCCAACAATTTAAACACCCATTTGATGAGCTAGGAAATGGCTGAGCTAGGCTTTGAAGCCAGGTGAGCCTTCCTTTCCACCACTGACTGGGTATGTCAGCCTGCATCACTCTTCACCTACCTTTCTCTCTAGGTCACCTTCTCCCAACATCCCTGGCAGTGATCTTCCTGCTTAAGATTACTCCCACTTCAGGAAAGCCCACTGTATGGCTGCCAAGGCTTCTGCCTGACCAATCACTACACTGAGGGTCAAAAAAGTAGTCCCCCCGCCCCTGAGGTATGGTGTCACTGTCACTCTGCCCTTCTGTCTCGGTCTCGTCTCTCATTGGGTTGTTGGTGTTTGTAGTTATGGTCACTACTGGGAAAACAGCAAGTTCTTTATAGTTCCCTCCCCCCAGTACAATGAAAGGACAGATAAAGAACTAAAGATAAAACATATTAAAGGGTTTTAAACTGCATTTAAGCAGCTGTAGCTAATTAGCATTTCAAAGGAGAATGGTGCCGAGTGACAGCCAAATTCATTCATTCAAAGGATCCTTCACCATCTATCTATCACCCAGGATTTAGTGGTAAAAATCAGGTAAGACAAGATGTCTGCTCTAAGGGGCTTGTGATCGGGACAGCCTTCCATGAAAAGGGGACTTTGCATCATGCATATCAAAATCCTCTAGGGCTCCCTGTTACCATTGCAGATTTCAACCCCACTACCTCTTTCCAAATCAGAACCTCTTTGGGGATGTGCACAGTCCCTGTGTGGACCATAGTTTAAGAACTCTGGTCAACGGAGACAAAGAAGACGAATGATAACAGCTGGAGAAATGGAAGCGGAGGGAGATGGCCTGACGGGGAAAGGTTGGGACAGCTGTTGTGGGGAACGGGAAGAAGAAGCCAAATACAAGCCCGTTCAATGCTTGTAGGTGGGACGGATGGCCCAGCAGACTGGAAAACGCTGTCTTCCTTGTAGGGACCTCCACAAAACCCACTGTTTACCAACAGCCCTAGTGGATGTGCATCTGAGACAGAGAGCCAGACTGACACAGGATGGTGTGTCCAGTACCAGGAAGACATGATACAGGTACAGGGAAGCTATAAATGTCAGCCAAGTGCTGGCTGGAGTGATGGTCACCTATGTGTGGCCTGGTAGGCAGGATGGAGAAGAACATCCCTGGGCTAACTGCTCTGTAAGCCCTCAATCCTTTCAACCATCTCCTTACCTTCAGTTCTCTTATCCGTTTAACATCTATATTCTTTACAGTATCATCTACTGTCAGAGCTTCATAGATGACGAAACTGAGGCTGGCAAATGGCTTAGCTGGGACCCCAACCCAGACCTGTCTCTTGGCGAGGTCTCTTGGCAAGACAGAAGTGGGATGATAAAATTTAAGATTCTGGGGGTGCCTGGGTGGCTTAGTCGGTTAAGCGTCTGACTTTCGCTTAGGTCATGATCTCGCGGTTCGTGGGTTTGAGCCCCGCATCGGGCTCTGTGCTCACTGCCAGCTCAGAGCCTGGAGCCTATTTCAGAGTCTGTGACTCCCTCTCTCTCTGACCCTCCCCTGCTCACGCTGTCTCTCTCTCTCCTAGAAATAAGTAAAACATTAAAAAATTTTTTAAAAAAAATTTAAGATTCTGAATGTAGAATGACTTCGGGAAATGAAGATTTTAGGGTGACAGTGCTTTAAACCTGCTAGAGTAGCAGCAAACTGGGGGACTTAGTACTTAATGGATATAGAATTTTAGTCAGGGAAGACGCAAATTCTCTGCAGTGGGATGTACTAACGGTTGCATAGCAATGTGAATGTACTTAATGCCATAAAACTGTACACTTAAAATGGTTAAACTGGTAAATTTTACATTATGTGTATTTTACTACAGTTTTTTAAATTGCTGGATATGCAGGGGCTAATCTTTAGGATGAATTGTGCACACAATCCCTGACATCATCTTGAAGGAGGTCAGTAGTTGGGTGGGTGGAGAGGCTGTGGGCCAAAATCTGGTCACTGAGGTGTGACTTGGTAATATCACAAGGCAGTGATGGGAAAGGCTTGAAAAAAGACATTTTCATGTGAGGGCGAAGATGCGGTGGCTTCTTAGTGAAGAGGAACCCAGTCTGCTGACCCTCTTGCAGGGCCTTCAGTACGAAGGGGTTGGGGAAAGAGGCAGCTGCCACCAAGTGGGCTAAAAGACTGTCTTAGGAGAGCCAGGAAGGCCATGTTCTGGGATGGGTGAGGCGGTCTGTACCATGATCGGGTTCTGGGGCAGGAGGAGGGGCGGCTGATGGACCAGAAGGGGCTGGAGAGCCTCAGACAGCTGGGCCTGGAGTGAGAAGGTCCCGGTCGACATGGCAATACCCAGAGTTGGCATGGGGAAAACATCAACTTTCAGAAAGTCTCTGAAACAGAAGGAAACCATTGCTCTAAGGCTTAGCACCCTGCAGAACATCTTCAGAGAACACAGGCGAGACTCTGCGAAGCCACCTTCGAACAGACCCTATCCCAGGTGTCCGGGACTGGGGCTCTCTCTCCCTACACTTTTTCTTCACTTGTTGCTTTGTTCATCCATTCAATTCACTGATTCTTCCCGTGGGGAGCACATCTGTGCCAGGCACCGGGGAAAGGATGCTGAGCAAGAGCAGCATGGTTCCCGGGCTCGCAGAACTGGTACTCCCGCTGGGGAGTGAGGCTTCAGCCAAATGCTGATGAAAGCCACGACCAGCTTGTGCTTTCAGGCTCTGCGGTCCTTTCTCCGAGGCACAAGAAGCTGTTCTTTTCTAATCTCCCACTGGTTTTCCTCTTTCTTTCTCTTGCTGCTTGTATCTTTCTCCATTTCTGTCTGCTTGTGTCTCAGTCCCTTCTCTCCCACTTTTGCGATTTTTGTTTTATTCTTGCGTTCTTCTCTACATCCACTGACCATTAACTGAAACTAAAAGATCATGTGTCATTACGACTTTTTTCAATGTTGAATGCTTTGTGGACCCTTTTCTTAATTTTTAAGGAGCCCGACTTAAATATTTTACATCTCTCAATAAAATGGAAAAAAGATAACCAAGTTAAATTGTTTTCTGTCCTCTTTTTACAAATAAGTCAGTCTTTTAAAAATAATTTTCACAACTGATGTTTCTTCAAATTAGTGCAGGAAGTACATTTTTTTTTCACCAAAATTAACCCAAATACAATAGTGTTCTCAGAATAAATGCTGCATACGCTTTTTCGTCAAAAGTGGACCCTACGGTCCCTCTCTCTGCTCTAATGGCACACAGACACACAGAACAGGACACACTTCCTTACTGTGCTAACTTGTAATGCGTCCGCCATCTAACAAAGCAGCTTGACTTGATTCGTTATTTCTTAGTTACTCATATATGCTATGTACATCTTGTGATCATGCACATGATTAGTACATTCCCATGTTGACTTTTGTTAGTCAATATGAAATCACTTCCTTCTTTCACCAGGAATGACAATATCTGACCACAGGGTAGCATAAAGTCAGAGAAGTTGCAGATGAACTGTTAGACTCTGTGGTTACAATGTATGAACATAGTAACTTGGTGAGTGGAAACTCAGTTTCTTGAGGGTTCCAAAATGCAAAGCTCAGAGATGAACTAGTCACGTTGCTGAGAAAGGACTCACAGAGCATGCCAGCCACCATCCTCTAGCTATCCCTACATTCTAAAAATAATGCATCTTTCTAGATGTTTAGAAACGTTAAGAACCTTTCAAAATAGTACTTTCAACAGTCAGATCCTTCAGACTTATTTAATTGTATAGTTATTCAATAAAATGATTAGGGTATCTGTGTCCCTCAAGGCTAGCTGTGCTCTTCTTACATTTAGTTCTTCAGAGTCGTGGCCCCATTTGTGTGAAAGAGGCAATGTGGTATAATGGAAAGAGCACTGACCTAAGAGTCAGAACACCTGGGTTCTGGTTTTAGCTCAACCCC